AGCTTGAGTTGGGCGTCCGGAGTGGTGCAGGCTCGGGGTCTTAGGGTTAGGGAGGGAGATCGAAACCGAGCGAAGCGAGGTGAGATCGACCGGTTAGGGTTGAGGGTGGGTTAGGCGAGCTGAGTCAACGGGGGCGTTGTGTGCTACAACGTCCCGTCCCGTTTCGCCTTTTATAGCTCATCAGGACTCTGCTTAGTGCATCCCTTTCGGGAAGTGCTTATCTCTTTGTCGTCTGTCTATCCGACGGCACAGGAGATAAAGTCAATTATGCTTACGATGCCGAACGCGGCCGGAGCTTTGTTCCGATAATGACTAAGTCCGATCGGACTATGTCATCATGATTACTTACTTACTAATCACCGATCGGACTTAATCTTATCGCATCTCTAAGCGCGTGTGGCGCTTAGATAAGATAGTCCGCCCTTATCCTTATCTTATCAAAGATTTAAGAGGGTCAAAGTGGTGGGGGATCAGGGTTAGGGGGGCCTTAGGGCGTGCTTTTTCGAAGATGTCTCCGGGTACGCAGTCAGGTTGCGTTTCCGGAACACAAGTCCTGTCACATAACATCAGGGTATGCAGCACCTCTGTGTACCCTGATTGAGAGGATTGAGCTTAGAGTGGACGCATTGATGTTGTGGCGTAATTGAGTTTGGTCACGTAACAATGAGGGTACACAACACATCTGTGTACCCTCATTGCAAGCACCCACACTCAACGAGGTTGTCAACTGAGCTGGACTAGGGCTGAACGCGGATCATCCGCAGCTCGATCCAGATCCTCACCTGCGGGTTTTTGAGGATCAGAAGCCTCGATCCAGATCCTCAAGGATCCTGATCTGCGGATCTGGATCACTCCAGATCCGGCTCATTTGCGGCTCCTGATCCTCAATGAGCCTTAGAGTAATGCAAGAAACACTGTTGTTTTATACATATTCACCAATTTTAAACACATTTTACATGGGGTCATGATCTGCGGATCATACCAACTTTGACACAACCCTTGATCCAGGTCCTCAGTGAGCTGGATCCTCAATGATCCGGATCTGCGGATCCAGATCGTTGAGGATCCAACTCCGGGTTTTTGAGGATCAATCTGCAAGGTGAGCTGGATCCACGTTCAGCCCTAAGCTAGACTGAGGGTACGCAGCAGCTTTGTGTACCCTCATCGCATATGTTCGAAATGAATACTCAGAGGGTGCTAGCAGCAACATGTGTACATGATAGGGTCTGCCCATCGTGTGGACTCTTCTTATGAGCTTGTGACTATAACACTCTACTTGGGTCAAGATATGTGATCATTTTGGCTTCAAAGTTGTACTTCCTGCTGAAAGCATGAGTGAATGCTGCTAGGTTACCGTCTAGTATAAATTTAACTGTATCAAACTAACCAAGATCTAGCTGACACGTCCATATATCAGCCATTATTACGCTCTGGATGCACAGAGTCCTACTCATTGTCACAGACATTTGGCCTACAGATTGAGATATAGTACTGCAATATGCTGCTGGGAAGTGTGCCCATTCATGGGAAACATTGGCAGACCGGTTTCGGAGATATAGCAGCTTTGAGGGGGTGTAGGTACTATGATTGACCATGCTGTCTTGTGGTGTATCGAGCATTATACATTTGAGTTCCTGCTATGACGGTGGTTAGGAGAAGACATGTGCAAAGTTGCATCAAAAAACGCGCTCAGAAGGGGGTAAATCGTGAGAATTGAAACACACATTTTCATATTAGAGAATAGTCCTATGAGTGTGGGTGCAAATTCGCTTGTGCTCAAAAGTCTGGTTGCAAAGATGTAACAAGCATCCCTAGCACGCTCATTTGTGTCAGGTACAACAACATTGCCTTCATTGCGCAAAAACTGTATGCATGCCTTATCCTGTTCTATCCATAAACATAACTATATGTGCAAAGCTGGTTGTGCTCAAAAATCTGGTTACAAAGACATGTACGAGGAATAATATGCTGGGCAGATGGGACATTGTGAAATACCTGTGTCTTGACTTGATTTTGTGACAATTATATGTATACATTCTATAGAGAATATGTTCAGGTTAGGGTTTAGGTGTGAAGCCACATCTGCTGAAAACATCTAATGTTTCAACCTCAAACCCACACTATCTTGTGTTTATACTGTCATAAACCTTGGAGATATCAAGGTTAGGGTTGGCAACTAAGGTTAGGGTTACATTAGGGCTACTGACTGATGTGTTAAAGAGTGGGCATGATCTGAGTGAGTATGTTCTGCATGCCTTGGAGCGTAAGCGGAATGGCAAATGCAGAACATACTCACTCAGATCGTGCCCACTCTTTAACACATCTTATATTCTAAACATTAACTGGCAATGCTAAGTATAAAGGAGCACTCTTTCTGACACCCAGGTTTTAACAGAATTAGCACAGTGGTTCCAGCAAATGTGCCTGTCACGGACGTTGGACAGACACCCCTTTTTGCCGCCCATTCCCTTCCCGTTGACGCCCACCTTCCATTTTTCGGACCATTTCCTTTCCTAGCCCATCCCAGTTTGGACACTGTAGATACGTTCCCACACCCGCATGCTACGTTCCCCTTTGCCTTTTCCTTCCCGCCCTTTGTTCTCCCTTTGTCATCTTCACTGCCTCGCTCTCGCGCCTTGTCTTTGGTTGCTAAGCAGCCCTCCTAGTATATAAGGACCCCCTTAGGCGCTCCCTAGTCCCCATCTCGACCTCTTGGTCATTGGGACTAGGTGAGTGACCATAGCGTTGTATCTCTCTTCGATTGCTAATGTATAACTTGGTCATTGGGACTAGTCTGTCGCTGTCTACGTGAAGACTAGCTTTCGCAGGTCTTGTGCCTTCGTGCTGACCTCCGCTCTGCCCTCGTTGAGTTTTCTGTCACGTTTATCCCTCTCTCTCTCTCTCTCTCTCTTCCTTTCGGCTCCTTGCCGCTCACCTACGAGGTCGTCGCCGAACGTCGACCCAAGTCTACGCGCCTAGTCGCCGCGACATTAGGTCGAGATCTCTCCCCCGGTGCTGACGCTCTGAACAAGAGTGTTCCCGCCGCCGCTACGTTGCCTCCCCCACCCTGGACTGCGCCGGCAGACTTCACGCGTGGGACGCCGAAGACCAAGACTACTGTCACCGACGGAAGGACCTAGACGACGGACTCTGGTACTGGGTACCGTGCGAACAAAACCCCTGCACGAACCGTCATCACCGTCCTGCTCGGATCAACTCAAGGGCCTTTTCGGACGAGTTCATCCCAGTTCCTGACTCCCCCGTTGCTGAGTCGCCCACGACTCGATCCCCCATCCCCGGTACTCCAACCGACGAGCTCGAAGTAGCGCTACTCATCGCGCTTCCCCCATCCCCTACCCTCCCCCCAACTCGCCCACCATCCGCTCCGCCCATCATGGGACAACAAGGCGGACAACCGCAGGTGACAGGCCCCGCCAACAACCCCCAGCAGGCCCAACCAGGCACCCAGACGGCAACGCAACCCCCGGACCCCATGACGGTATTACTCCAGTCGATGACTCTCCTCACTCAGTCCATGGCGCAGCTCGCCAACTCGACCACCGGGGCCAACAGCCTGAAGGCGGTTCAGAAGCCCTCTCCCTTCAAAGGTGAACAGG